TGAATATTTGCAGGATGGAGTGGCCACAAATTGATTATCTTAAACCACTATCCGTAATACATATTGCTTATAATAAGATTGTTGCTGAATATAAGCATTGTAGAACGGAATATATTTTTGCAAAGCATAGATTAAATCACTTTTTACGAGTTCGTAATACGATTCTTGATTGTGCTGATGAATTTACTTCACCACAACAGATAATATCTGTTTCAAAAGAACTTGAATTTGTCTATAACATGATAGAAGACTTCACTGAAAGATTAACTGAAAGTGAAGAAAGGTTAAATTATTGTAAAGCAAAATTATCATTAATAATTCTCTAATTTTACAGGATTATGTATCCGCCCGATAGAGGACGCGGCCCTAATAGAGGTCGTGGAGGAAGAACAATAAACCCTGTAATACTCGAAAATACCCTTGTTGAGTTGACCAAGATATGGTCAACCCTATAACCACCAAATGTGAAGTGCCAAAAAAAAGTAAAAATTACAAAATTAATGTAAAAGACAAATGTAATGGATCAAATGAGTGAATTTTTAATATAATGACTAAATTAAGTTTTTTAGCAAATATAAAATATCATTTGAGCAGTTTACTCGATATCTGATTTATTCTAAATATGGTATTCTAAAAAGAATTACTCTTAATCTAACAGAAGTGCACTCAATATATCAGTTGCCTAAAATACTTGGAGTTAATTATAATTATATACACAATACGATTACGAACTAGTTATTAATAATTGGTTATTCTGTAAATATATTCCTTATTTAATTTGCTGATAAGAATATGATTATTTAATCTTGTCGTATTTTGGTATTGTATGCATTAAATTTAAAATTTGTTGATTGTGTAAATAAATTCCTTATATAGATTAATAATTGTAATGATTTCGTTTGAACGGATTTATGGTTCTTGGAAACTAAAGTATGCAATGATAGAATATGGTAATAAAGTAAGGTAAAAAAAATTTAATTTAACTAAATTACAATATTTTTTTACAGTTTAATGAAGGAGAGTTGTAGAGACGACACGTGTCACAATTATGCTAAACTAACTCATTGAACAACACGTGTCAATTACAAACTATCCTTTAATATATACTAGTGTTTACCCCGCACGTTGTGCGGTCATTTCAAGATACATATGAGTTTAATGATTTAAAATTAAAAGATTTTTTCAGTTTACCTATTTTATACTTTCCTTTCCCCTATACTTTCTCCCTATCTCTGTAATTTTTCTTCACTTGGTTGCTACTACTGAAATTACACACCAAGTAGAGTTTTTCTTTTGGATGTAATAGGATCTGAAGTGAAGAAAAATGAAAATGGAGAATAATAAGGATGATGGTCGTCAATAGAGTGAGGATTTTTTTTCTTCCTTTTAGGAAGGAATGGGAAAGGGTTTGGTGTTTTGAAAAGAGTGTGAGAATCAAATAGCTATGGGAAACTTTGGTTTGGGATGAGTATTTTAACGATTCACACTGATTTTTTAGTGATTTTCAATATGTTTTGTGGAATAATTTTGAATATTCAAAATCATTCAATGTAACTTATTGTCCATCGTTTTTGTTTTGTTGATTTATGTCTTTCTATGTTTTAAAATTATTTTCTTAATTTTTTTATAATCATCTCTATAAATAATTTTACATGTCTTATATCTTTTAAACTTTCCATCTAGCAGAAAATTTTCTTATTATTTCTTTCGATAGAATTTTTATTTTTCATTTCTCTATATACTTTTTACAACCTTTCTTTAAAGGTTTCTTCAAATATTTTTCCTATAATATAGTGTTTATTTCATTTTTTTTTCTTAGATGCATAGTCTTCCCCTTTTTTCCCCAAATTTGATGACTCTCTTTAAAGTTTCATTTCTTGAAAAATTTGTAATTTCATTTTTCACTATTACCCCGATTTCTTTATTCATATTTTTTATTATATACATAAGTTTTTTTCTCTATATAATTATTTTGACTTCTCAATATAATTTTCATATGCTATTTGTCTCTCACAAAGACCTTTATTGTTTTTCTTATTTTTCAAAAATTTTCTCCTTATTGATCTCTATATTTTATTTTATCATGATAACATTGAATTTTTCAACCATTATATCAATATGAAAAAATATAATGAATCATTTGGTTGCTTCTTTTTTTTTTTAATATTTTGCTTCACATTACTAATCTTTATTAATGTTAGAAAATTCATCAATGAAAAACGCATGTCACACTTGAATTCCAAGATGTATATGAAAAAAGGCAAAAAAAAAATAATAATAAAAATTTAGCCCCAGTATGGAGTATTAATTATCTTAACTACGATGAAAAAATTTTCATTATGTACATCTTATTATTTCTTTTTTATAATCTGTAGATATTAAAGGGATAAATTAATTCAAATACTTGTAATTTCCTTTTTTAAAATTTTATCTTATTTGATATTGATATTTAATTATGTTTAAATTTAATACAGTACTTATTTTCAAGAATATAAGATAATTACAAAACTAAAAACCATATGAAGAATGATATATAGGACCACGTGCAGGAGTAAACATATAGTAATTGATTATTAAGTTCTCTTATCTATTTTGCCGAAGTGAGCTTCTTTTTACATTTTTCTTATGGTAATTTATACTACTCTTTTTACGCATCATTACTAATGGACTCTTATTACAATTACAATTGTTATAGGATTAGTGGAAGTGAAATTATGCTGAATTTTTTTATTAGGGTTTTTTATTATACTCTATAATAACCGGGGGTTAATAAATTAGGATTTAGTTGTCGTTAATTTCACTTTTTTCCCTTTCTTTTTAGTTAATTTAGTTTTATATATAAAGTTACGGTTTTACATTAAAAAAATTACCATTAAATGATGGAGTGATGTGGATGCGACATGTGAACTTGGGTGTCTAATTTTGTACCACGTGGATTAGCCTATCTAATATCACGACATGTGTCCGATTGAAAACTCTTCTTTAATATTATTGGAGGTGCAACTTCATTTGGTCCGACAACCATTCATGGGTCCGATAATATTCCTTTATGGTTTATTGGGCCGGCTAAAGCCCTAACAATGGCCCAAGCCCATCATTGAAAGGAATATTCTCAGGGAATATTCCCCTCACCTTAGCTATATATACCCCATTTTTTGTGGTGAAGAGTAAGCTCTTCCTCCTACTCCCTTCTTGGCTCACATTTTATACATTCACTCTTGACACTGACTTGCTCGTCGGAATGCTAACCTTTGTTTTGCAGGTCTCAGGTCCATAGATACCGTTGACCCTCGTCCTAACAGAATTCACCCTCGACAAATATATACTAATGTGTTGTGCACGCACGTTGCGCATGATTTCTAGATATTATTGTTGATATAGTAACATTAATGTTATTCAAGTATAAGCACATAAAATTAATATAATAAAACTTAAGTGGTATTCTAAAAAATGTGATACCAAATCATTTGACCAGTTTATTTGCAAAATTAAATGGATTTGTAATATAGTTTAAACTGGAATAAACACAATGTAAGCAATAAGTTTAGCGTATGAAATCATAAAATGTTGTCACAAACCATCAAAATGAGAACATATGGAAGGTAGTTAGTATTCATAGTCGCTCAAATGACACGTTCTCCAGCTAGTCACTTATAGTTAGGGTTGTCGATTATTCGGGTCAACCCGAAGACCCACCCGAACCGAACTGAATTTGGGGCGTTTGGTTCGGCTATTCAGGTCTGTTCGGGGCAAATTGGGTGTACCTGAACAACCAAAAAGTTAATCGGTGCGGGTTCAGGGGGAAAAAAATTATACGGGCCCCGCCCAAAAAACCGAATAGGGATTAATTATTTAATTTTTTTAGGGCCATATAAATAGGGAAGAGATTAGGGTTTCTTCTCCTTTTTATCTCTCCTCCTCCCCGCTCCTCCTCTCTCTTCCTCTCTTCCTCACTTCAACCTTGACGGCGGCGACAGTCAACAATCGCCGCCAACCGCCGTTTCAAGCTTCAATCCCACCTTTTCTTCTTTGTTAATTCGTCGATCCCACTATCAATCGTTTCAAATCTATCATTTCCTCCAAAAAAAAAATAGATGGTTTCCACTTAGGGTTTTGTAGATCTGGATTTTTGAACCAAACCATCGAATCGATTAGGGTTAATGGGTTATGAGATTAGGGTTTGAGCTTTTAGATTGGGGAATTGGAGTTTAGTTGCCATCGAAATTTACAAACTAAAAGGGAATTTCTCAAATTGAGATTAGGGTTTGCTGCTCGTTGTCCCAGATTGCTCTCCTTTCTGCTCTTCGTCCAAAAGCTGACTCTGTCAAGCTTCGGGATTCATTATCAGACCTTCATAGAGCATCAGTCCATAAGGTATATAGTTTATTTTCCTTTTCTACAATTTATTTAGTTAATAATAGCTCTATTGAGTGTTGATAGTTTAGTTGTGTGAGCTTGTAGGCTGTACTGCTTTCTGCCTTAATTTTTGTTTCTTCTTTTGAAGCAAAGTTATGGTCTTTTCTTTTATTGTTTTTTGGTGTTAGTATTGTAGTTCGAGCCTGAAAGTTTGTTAGGAAAATGCTGTTGCGTGTAAAATGTTGTAGTCTTGTAAAAATGTTGTAGTGTTGTAATGAATGAATATTGAAACAGCTGTGGTTTTGTATTGAATGATCGTGTTGAATGTTGATGTTGTCCTGGTCCTCCTGGAAGTATTTTATGTTTTTTTTTCTTTACTGAATATTGAAGCAGTTGTTTATTGTAACATGGTCTGTTTGAAGCTGGTTCATCTGTTTGAAGCAACAATTGGAAGTGCATGTTTAGGGTTTACTGGTCTGTTCATTGTCTATTCTGGTTATTTAGGGTTTACTTCTGTTTTATAGTTTTCTACTGCAAGTTTATGTTTGCTTTAGCTTGTGAAATTTTGTGTAGCTTGTAGTTGTTTGCATGAGTATTACAGTAAACTATAAAGTATAAACTAATTTTCTTTCTTTTTGGTTTAGATGTCTCAGCTTGATGATAATCTTGATGAGTTTGAGGTTGAGGATCAGGACCTTGCGGTTGATAAGGGTTCAGTGCCTTCTCCTCCGCTGGATTTACCGAATGATCAAACACTGATGATCGATGTACAGATTGAAACGGGGAAAAGGGTAATAGGTGAAGGTCCTGTTGGTGAAGCAGCTGCTGTTCAAAAGCCTCCACTTCCAAAGCAACGCAGGATCACTCGTAAAAAGGTCTGTGGTATGGCCCCATTTTTCTACTTTTACTGACCAGAAAGGTGATCAGTGGGCTTCTTGTAATTACTGTGGCTCTAACTATAGGGCTGAAAGTAGAAAACACGGAACTAGTAGTCGTCATGGCCACTTAGCAAACTGTAAGAAATATTTGGCTCTTAGTCATGATCCTGGTCAAAGTAAATTAATTGTTGAGGGTGGGAAAGGGAAACCAGCAACTGTAGGGACTTGGAAATATAATGAAGAGGAAATTACTAAGGCACTTCTCTATATGATCATAATTGATGAGCTTCCTTTTATTGTTGTTCAGAAAAAAGAGTTTAGGTATTTTCTGTGAAAATTGCAACCTTTGTATGTGCCAAAGAGTAGACAGACTTTAGCGGATGATTGTTATAAGTTGTATTTAGCTGAGAAGGAAAAACTGAAGTTTGAGATTAAAGGGAATGTTAGTAGAATTTGTTTGACAACAGATAGTTGGACTTCTTTCCAGCAAGTTAACTACATGTGTCTTACTGGCCATTATGTGGATAATAATTGGAATCTGAAAAAGAGAATCTTAAGTTTTTGTCCCATTTCAAGTCATAAGGGGTATTGATATTGGAACTGCAATTGAAGATTGTTTGTTAGATTGGGAAATTGAAGATGTATTTACAATTACTGTTGATAATGCTAGTTCTATTGACTCTGCGATTGATTATTTGAAAGAGCAGTTTGCTCACCGTGAAAAATGTCTTTTGGGTGCTAAATGGTTGCATGTGCTTTGTGTGGCTCATGTTATGAATCTGGTAGTTAAAGATGGCTTGGACTATATAGGAAAATATGTAGAAAGGATTAGGGCAGCAGTTAAGTATGTTAGGCAGTCTCTTAAAAGAATTGCAAGTTTTAGAAAATGTACTGAAATCGAGAAGTGTAATAGCTCTAAGAATTTAGTCTTAGATGTTTGTACACGATGGAATAACACATATTTGATGCTGGAAACTGCTCAAGTGTATGAAAGAGCCTTTAGGAGATATGAGTCTACTAATCAGCACTTTAGAGACACTCTTAGACACGATCCTGAGGTGCCAAATCCAGGACCCGGGCTGCCTACTTCATTTGATTGGATCGAAGCACGGAGGGTGGCTGGTTTGCGTCAGCATTTTTACAAGATAACGTTGAAGGTATCTCGTACAAAAATTGTATCTTCTGGTGGTTTTTTTACTGATATAACTTGCATTGATGTGCTGCTGAAAAAGATCATTAATGAAAGTCAAGATTTTGAACAAAAGGCTATGGCTGAAATGATGAAACTGAAGTTTGATAAATACTATGGTGATGTTGCGAAGATGAACCTTGTTCTTTGTATGGCATGTGTTTTCGATCCAAGATGTAAACTGACTTACTTAGAAGTTGTACTTTCTGATGTTTATGGGAAACAGAAATATGAATTGATTCAAAGTGCCATGTATGATTTATATGCTGATTATGTGAGAATCCATACCCCCCCTACTAGTTCTAGTTTGCCTTCCTCCAATCCCGATTCTTCTTCTCAAACTACTTCATCGGGGAAAAGGCCTTCCCCTATTGATATTGAGCCTTCGAAGGTCCTCAGAGTAGATTTAGAATGGAGCTGTTGAAGAAGAAAAATGAATCAGCTGGTGGCAGAAATGATAAGAAATCAGAGTTGGAAAAATATTTGAAGGAAGATGATGAACCAGGTTACGAAACATTTGACCTCATGAACTGGTGGAAGATGAACAACCCTCGTTTTCCAATCCTTTCTCTTATGGTTCGTGACATTTTTGCCATACCTATATCTACTGTAGCTTCTGAATCAGTTTTTAGTACCAGTGGGAGAGTGTTGGACGCATATTCCGGAGTTCTTTAACTCCGAAAACTGTTCAGTGCCTGATTTGTGCACAAGATTGGCTTCGGGTGCTGGTTGAAGATGAAGATCAAGATGTTGAAGAAAGCTGGGATGATCTCCTACGGATTGAAGAAGGTTGATTTTAAATTTATTTGTGATTTTCAGTTCTTTATTGAATTATTTGAATGTTAACTGTTTCTTTCTTCTTATTTTTCGTTTCAGCTGCTGAAAAAGGAAAGAAAAAATTGGGATGAGATAGAGTTTTTCTTAATCAAGCTTGACTGAACTAATATTCTGGTAGATTTTACTTTGCTTTTCAGCAACATAGACATGTTTTTCATCACTGTTATAACCTGAAAACCTTCAATTAAGTTGTTGATGTTGATAGTGTCCTGTATTTCTGAATTTGCAGCCTTGCTTGTTCAGTTGTTCCAGTTTGTTGATTGCCTATTCTTGCTGCTTGTTGAACTGTTGATCATTTGAAGACTTGAAGTTGAAGAGTGAAGACTGCTAAGTTGGTCCATTTCAGTTGAAGAATGAAGTATGAAGTTGCAGATTGAAGACTCATTAGTCTTATTGAGTGTATTTCAGTCTTATTGACTGCTAAAATGAACACTGAATTTGTTGAATGTTGACTGCTAAAATGAACACTGAATTTCAGTTTGAACCTTGAATGTTGAATGTTGAATGTTGAACTTGAATGTGATGTGTTGATTCAGTTGAAATGAATGTTGAACTTGGTTTATGAATGTGGTGTATTGATTCAGACTTTGAAGTTTCAATTATTTTTTATTTTTTGGTTTTTTTTTTGCCGGTTCAATTAGGTTTTTTTTGAATTCGGTTAAACTGGGAACCGAACCGAAAAATCGATTATTTAATCGGCTCGGTTCGGTTCGGAGAAACAAAATTTGCGGTTTATTTTCAGGCGGTTTTGGTGAGGGAACAAAACCGATTAAACCGAACTGAATATCGGCCGAACCGCCCAACCCAACCGAACTGACAGCCCTACTTATAGTATGGTGTCGTTGCACAAACCTCCTTGCCCTACCTGATCTAAATTTTGGAGATTGATATGTTAAAATCTAAATTAATATTATATATTTTCTTGATGAAAACATTAATAAACCTCCTTGATGCTGCCCTCTTTCTTGGCCCACTTCTTTCCATTTATCATTATCATAATCACAGTGGTTTTAGATCATTCTGTCATTTCCTCGACTCTCGTGCTCCAAAATATTATTTTGTCTCCGGCGACCAGTTGGACTAAAGAAAATGAAAACCTATAGAGTCAGTGGACTTTGGAGTATGGATGGTACTTCAATTCTTTTGGTAAATGTAGAGTTTAATAAATTACATTGGATTAATATTAAGATTGTAATTACAAATCTTACATGTATAAATTATATTGTGAGATGTGGGCTTGGTTATCGAAATTTTTGCAACGTGGATTACCCTATTTAATTCTACCTAATGTGTCCTATTGAAAACTATCTTTTAATGTTATCATTAATTTTAAACTTATAATTCACATTAAACCTAATAAATTTAATGTCATAATTATATTTTCCTCTAAAGTCCAATTTATGATATTTATTTTCAAAAATATTTTAAAATAAACTAATCACTATCCATTATGAAACCGATTTTATATCATAATCAATATCAAAACATGTTGTATTTCAAATTTCGTTTTTACAATTTACTAATTTATACTAATTTGTAGAATATATATAAAATAGTCCGGAGTTATAAATTCTATTAAACCTAGTATATATCAACGGTATGATAAAACAAAAAAAGGAAATTACTGTATATAGTACTAGTATATTAACAATTAGACTAATAAAATAATATTTTTATTTGTCAAAGAAATACACACGATTATATAACACATTTAATTTTATATTAATTGAAATATTATGCCTGGAATGCAATATACTGTCTATATGTGTAAAAAGAAAAGTAGTTAACACATAATTTACTTTCTGTTATTCTATGTACTTTTAACCATTATATATACTTACGAAAATTATATAAAGGTTAATATTTCAGATTTGTAAAGGTAACAGGACTTCCCTTATTTCATGCCGCCTGACCTCTCCCTTATTTTTAATATTAATCTATCTTTGGTAGATTAAAATCTCCAGAACGTAACATGATTTAATTACTTTTGTCCTTTATAAATTTTACGGATTTACAAATAAAAAATTACCATTAAATGATGGAGTGTGGTGATTGCAACATGTGGATTTTGCGATTTAATTTTTCGCTATGTGGACTGTTTTATTTAACTTTATGTCATGTGTCCGATTGAAAACTCTCCTTTATTTAATATATAAATAAATAAAGAGATAAAAATATATAGATATAGATATAGATTCTACATGCTCGATCTCAATCCACTAAATTCTGACCTTTGTTCGTGACAACTATATATTGGGCCAAAAGAAAAGAGAGTTTCGGTCATGAATTTCAAGAGCCCATGAAGAATAACAATTTTTTTTTTCTTTTAACCTTCAAAAAAAAAAAAAAATGTTTTTCTTATTAAAGAAAAAAAAAGAAAAAAAGAAAGAGGTTTGGGGAAATAAAGTGTTAACATGGAATGAAGCATCAGAGAGACTATTGGTTAGAGCTTAATGACTTCCCCAAATTACAAATTAAAATACCAAATTGCGCTACATTAGCAAAAATGAAGGAAAAAGAAATGGGAATTATTTTGGGTTAAGGATATCATGCAGTACATTCTATGTTTTGTAACGCCATTTATAAAAGTGACCCCTTGTGTTGATACAAATTTAGTAAGAACAAAATAAATACACACGTTAAAATGTGTTGAAAAGTGATACTCAGTGAGATCATTTGTTTTTTGTTACTGTGTATTTTTGAAAGCCGTGTGGACTCATAAATTAGGAGAGGTGACCACCTGAGTTGCCGGCTTAGTGGCCCGAGTCCTTTCCGGTCAACCCCCACCCCAAAAATTATGTTTTAAAAAAAAAATATTAAAAAGGAAAAATAAACACGCACACACACACTGACTGAAAGTGACACGCAGAGCAGGCAAGGCAGGCTTGCAAAGGCAGCGACGTTACACCCGCAAACGCAACAACACCGAAGAGAAAAGAAGAAGAGAAATTAAATTATACCCCTCTCTCAGATTTCAGATCCAAAATCTTTTCAAACCCAAGAGAAGAAAGAAAGAAAACATCTCTCTCTCACCGAAACACGAACCTTGCCGCCACTGAATTCCAGTTCCTGATTGATTGAAAATTCCCAGCTCCACAGATCCAAATCCTCCACTGAAATTCTTTTTTAATTTTTTCCATTCCCGCATTGATCTCGCCACGGCTGACACTCGATTCTTTTGATCTCTCTGTACATAGTGCCGCACCCCCTGGTGCGTCGATTTTGTAGCTAACAATAGAGCTGATTTTTTGTTATGAAGACGACGGATATGAATGGAGTGGTGGAATGCAGCGTTTGCCATTCCAAATTGGTGGCGCCGGGGTCTAAGACCGTCTCTAAGGCCTACGATCGCCACCGCAACAACATTTCCTTGAAAACTCGTGCATTCAACATGTTCCTTGTCGGTGGTGATTGCATTTTAGTCGGCTTACAGGTGATTTTCCTTCATTTTACTGATTGTTACTTCTTTTTCCAGCTGATTTTTATTAGACCTGCGTTTTTTTTTTCCTGGCTTCCGGAGAGGTGGAAATCTTACCACCATTGATTTATGCGATTCTTTTTAGAGGGTGATCTAAGTTCAGATTTTAGGATATTCATTTAGGAAAAGGGGCGCCTTTTGTACAGTTTAAAAGTCTTGTAGATGAAGGAAATGCCGATATCTTACTCTTGGGTTCTTATTGCTATGGAAGTAGCAGTTTTCTGGATTCCCCGAAATGGTTGAGTTTTAGCTGATAGTCAGTTGGACAATTTATCCTTGTGATTTTGAATTATGGTAGTCTTTCTTATTGAGATCTTCTGTTGTGAAATATTTTTGGATTTACAAACGTGTTCATGATCACATTGCCTTTTGGCCTTTGTCTGTTAATCTTTTGGTTCCCAAAGGATCTATGTTTTTTAATCTTACTTGTAAACTTCATTACATGCAATCTTAACTAAAGAAGTCACTCCAGCTTACTAATTTCAGAGCCAAAAAATGGTCACTATCTTTGACCTTCCGAGTCTCCACTATGGAGTTTACGTGACCTTTTCATAAGGTATCATATTATAGCCATCTAGGACTATATTCCTGTCCAGTCTTCTTCGAATCAAGAAAAATGTACATCGTTTGTGTGTATCCACTATGCTTTAGCCTCGGTGATTTCAAATGGTTTCCCATGTGGATAGCTGTTGTGGCTGTAATCTTCTCCCATTTTTCTGCTACAAAATGACTCTGAATTGGGTGTTTTCCCTGCTTTACCTTTGTCTTGCAGCCTATACTGGTTTACATGTCAAAAGTCGATGGGAGTTTCAAATTCAGTCCAATTAGTGTGAACTTTCTTACAGAAGTAACAAAGGTTATCTTTGCAGTTATCATGCTGTGTGTGCAGGTATGCTAATTTCTATCCTTTTGAGAGTAGTGTGCTGATCTCATATTTATGCATCTATTGGTTTATGGAATGGATTTGCTGCAGTGTAGTGTTTCACACTGCCATATAAGTTGTTGAGGACTTACCGTGCGATGAAATACATTTGGAGGTTGTAAATATCTCGAGTTTGCATCAATCTGACTAACCTAGGCTCATACTCTTCCTTCTTTCTTTTTCCCTTTCAGAGTGAAATTGTATTTGAAATGACATTTGTAAATATTTTTTGTGAATGAGAATGGGAAAGCAAGTTTGTTGGACTGAAATATGAAGATTTAAATGCATATTTGTTCCTCCTTGATCTTTCCTCGTAGCAAAGGGGATTTTGATTTCTTGTCTTCGTACTTTTGCAGGCACGGCGACAAAAAGTTGGAGAGAAACCCCTGCTTTCTATTCCGATATTCTTCCAGGCAAGAATTATGACACTATTTTTGTTTTTGGTTCAATGGTATCTGAAGCTGTCATTCTCAAGTAATAGAAGGCCAACTATTATTTCCTGTCTTGTATACTTGTTCTTTTCCGGAGTATTTCGTAACACTTTTTTCCTGAGAAAGGGAGATGTCTAGTGGAAAAAAGTAATTAATAGTTTATAGCTTTATATGAAGTGGATGTAGGAGATGCATGCACTGGAATTGTGACTCACTTGATAGTGTTCCTTTTGCCTCTTTTTTATTGTCTGCAGGCTGCTAGGAACAACATGCTTCTTGCCGTTCCTGCTCTGCTTTATGCTATAAACAATTATCTGAAGTTTACCATGCAGGTAACGCCTTAACAGACGTTTTCCCTGATTCATATTTCATTTCTTCAACTTCTTTTGAATGGCTTCATTTTGTTCGACTTCTATTATTTCAATCTTACGTTGTGGGCTTGGTGATTTGTACTTTGTTAAAGTTTAACTATGGAGGTGCATCTTGTTGTTTGACCACTTCTCATACTGTGATTTAGAGATTCTGTACGAGAATTATGTGTTAATCAGTCTTTATTGTCTTGCTACATGTATGGACTCTCGACATGATAGCTTATTGTCAAATTATAAGTACATCTCCAAATTGTTTACCTAAACATATGATATGACTGGAAGTTTATAACTTTTAGGCTTAACTTTTTTGTGGTATTAATATTAATAAGTTAGTTTGCATAATTTTCACTTTAGCCAAGCTTTCCCTTTTATTAAATTTCACTCTGGTAGGCGCTTTAAGTTGTGAAGGGTGATACTCAAGAATGAGTTTTAACATCATTATTACTGGTTGATGATTAGTATAGAGGAAAGCTAATATTGGACTGTAGTTTGTGACTACGTTTGACGCATAACTTGAATCAATCAGTACTTTTTTTTTTATAATCAATTTTATGGCAATATGGAAACATTTTGGCTGCTTTTAATTTCTGAACAAATATTGGTCAGTCTCATTGAACTGACCCCTCTTGTGAAGACTGAAGAGGTAGAGTTGAAAATACAAGAAGTTCCTTTTTTTTGTGGAATTTTTTCCTTCCGCGTTTTCTTTTTTTTTTTTTTTTTGGGGGACTGGGTTGGTGGGTTTTGATAACAACTCGATACTCTTGGAAAGAAATGCCGAATTTAATGAGTAGGTGAACCTGCTCGATGCCTCTACCTGTGGGGAATTTATGTTGATCCTATATGTTTGTTTTTGTGTTAGGAGTTTTAAGGCAATGAAAACTATGTTTGCACTGATACATTCCTTACTCACAAAATGTATTCCTGGCAATGAAATTTTGATTGTCTTAAAATTCAGAGTCTTGATGTTGGATAATCATCTGTCTTGCAGCTATATTTTACTCCTGCGACGGTGAAGATGCTGAGTAACCTGAAGGTATTTGCTTCTTCAGTTGATAAAATATGAAAGTTCGACATTGCTTTCGTATAATGCTCCTTTTGACTTCTTTCATCACCTCTGTTGCATAATGCATTAAAATGTAAATTCAAATTATGTTAGACGATTGCAAGGAGGGTATTACAAGTGTAAGGTGATTCCATAAATGCATTGTTTAGCAAATTAGGTAGTCCATGATGAAACTGTGCTAGTGGAAATAGCTTGTGACTTCAAAATGCGGACGAGTTTTTTTTTTTATTTTCCTCTCTTTGGATTTTGAAAAGCTTTTCTTTGAACCTAGACCAATAATTGAAATAATGCAGATTCAATTTTGGCTTTTGGTTTCTACCCTAACCTGAAGTACAAAAGTTAGAAACTTTTGAAGTTTAAATATCAATAATATTGCATCAATCAGGTAGTTAAATATCACCATCCTCGCTTTCATGTTAAAACTACAAATCACTAGTATCTTGAAAACAATTTGCAATTAATGATTATTAATATTTGCAGTGTCAAATGACTAATAGTGAGGTCATATGCCTGCCAAGTGCCAAGTTACTAAAAGGGAGGTCAAAATATACTTCACTATTGTCTTGTTCCAATTTAAAAAACTAAATTTATTCCACGATAGTCCTATTTGATATCAGATACTTGGGAGTATTGATTCTGTAATGTGGGCCTGTGAAATTATCTGATTAAGACAAGTTTTTTATGCCTCAAATCTGCACTTGTAGGTATGCCAAAATTTGCCTGCTACTCTTTCACAAAATATGCAATTAATTAGACGGCTTCCATCATTTTGCCACCAAGCAATTATGTGATGTCAGCCTTTCTACCCAATAAAATTATTTGCTTCATCAAAATGCCTGTTGATATGCACTGATTCTCAGTGATTTGACAAGAGGCTAATTGCATTTGCCCGATAAAATAGTTTTCAATGAAATGGATGCTTGCTGAATAAGCAAAGATGGACTCTCTTAAGACATCCTGGTCCTTGTACCAGGATATGTTGTCATATGAACTACCTTATTGTTTCTGATTTTGCTTTTATCAACCTCAAACATTGTTGAAATTTCTTAATTTGCAGGTTCTGGTGATTGCAGTATTGCTAAAAATTATAATGAAACGTCGGTTCTCCATAATTCAGGTATATCCAAACTACAACACATTAGCAGATTAGCTGATCGAGTGGCATTATCAGCACCCTATTTTATGAAGTAGACATCTAGATCTGTAGACATCTAGATCTGTTTTTTCCTATGATCTTCTCTTGGGAAAAGGCAAGGGCTGAGGGTGTTGCCGTGCAACTTAACTTTTCAGTAGTTGTGTAGTAGTTGATAGTGAATAGAGTAGTATACTCGGTGTATCTTTCTGTAATTTGGCTGCTCAATTCTCATCAGTGGGAGGCTCTCGCACTGTTGCTTATTGGGATTTCAGTGAACCAGCTGCGCTCTCTCCCTGCGGGTACCAGTGCTATGGGTCTTCCGGTGGCCACAGGGGCATATGTATACACATTAATTTTTGTAAGTCTTTAACATTATTTCAAATTCCATTTCCTTTTGACTTCTTCGGATCCTTGTTTTTTAATGTGTTGTGGTCGGCTGCTGTATTACAATTAATTTGTGATTTGTGAAATGCCGAAATCTATCATGTCACACGTTTTCCTTGCATATGTTATTCTTTGGTTCTTCTGTACAATGGAAATGAGAATAAGTGGTTCAATATCTAGTTACTTTGAAGGTTTGTCTGCTAATCTACGTGAATATAAAGTTTTAGTAACTCTGGTGAGTAAAATTTTCAACTAAGGGAACATCGCATTCTTAAATTTGTGATTTAGAGGAAGTGAGAGCTTTAATTTCAGATACTATGTTCTGGTCACCACTTTTTCAAGGAATAATCGCTCCGCAACTTTGATGGAAATTTTTGGAATGTTACCATCCAGCAAGAGTTCAACTCTCTCTAGGTCGCAGAATCATCCGGTTACATGATTATGGGGTTTCTTAGAAAGTTGTGTTTTGCTGCTTAATTGAGATGTTGATATTGTTTATGATCAATGTATGGTAAGTGATATCTTCGTTCTGGCACTGTTCAGGAAGATCACTATCATCATTAGTATGTTCCAGATGATGGTACTGAAATTACAGCTAACATCAGTTTCTTTTTCTGTTCCTGGTTACTGAAGGCGAAATTTAGTTAACCAGTATTGTGTCTCAAAGGTTAAGTGAAGAAATTGATCAGTCTTAACGGTTTCTTGAATCTCAGTATTATGGTTTGTGTCATCTTCTATTGTAAAAGACATACATGGCAAGTCTATGAGGATCTGTTAATATTTGTAGTTTGAGATCAAATCTCAGAGGAAGAAGTATGAATAAATTTTGTTCCAAACTCGCACAATCCCATGAAGATAATTCATAGAACAGTGGTTTTCCTTTCAGTAGTCGGATATAGTTGGTGGTTTATCCCATAAACTCAATCTGTTATAGGAACAAAGCAGTTTTTGTGCGGTTAACTATTTGGCTTTCAATTCATTAAGGCCATAAGGAGGTTCTTGCTGATGGTCTACTTTATATTTCAGGTATCAGTTCCATCGCTGGCTTCAGTCTTCAACGAGTATGCTTTAAAGAGCCAATTTGAGACGAGCATTTACCTTCAGGTGCATTGTGCTGTTTGTTGCAAATTTCAAGACGAAGTCTAATATATGTTCTTTGTACTTTTTGGATTATGTTTATGATCCCTGGTTCACTTCCCCGTCAACCCCAGCTCACTTGCCGAAATTTAATCCATTTACTGTCTGCATGTAGGAAGGATTAGGATTAAGTTACTACTATGCTTGAATTTGCGTGTTGAGTTGATACTGCTAGTGCGGAAGTCAGTCTTAGTTACAAACTTTTGGAATTAGGACATTCTATGGTGCTTCTTTTATTCACCTTATTAATGAGGATGAGATTTGCAAAGTGCATCTCCTCAAATTTACAATTCTATTGTTCAGAGTAGTCTTTATTATATTTTTCTGCTGTTATCTTGCTGTTCTTCTGTAAAATGTTTCTGTTGTTTGCAGAATCTATTTTTGTATGGTTATGGTGCTATATTCAACTTCCTGGGCATACTTGGGACTGCTGTTTTTAATGGTATGTGAGTTCTTTCTATAAAATCGATAAATTACCAGGGTCTAACTCCTTTGGTGCCGTACCTCAAACAATTCTGGCCATGTCTTGCCTTTATTCCTTGTAGAATGAATGAGTTGGTTTCAGATACTAAGTTCTATATTTGATGCTGCATAGTGAAGCGGGTGGCTCAAATTTATGCCTTCCTATGTCTTTTCATCATTTAACATTTTACATCAGAGTGATGCCTTTAATTAAGATGCTAATTGGTAATACAAATTCTGTAAGAATCATGTATTTTACTCTAAAGAAGTCAATGATGCGTCGGTCTATTCCATGTTTTGTTCTACGAGTATGACCTTAGATTTTAGAAGCCACAGCACTGTTTTCTGTGTGTTATAAGAAGGTGGTTGCGGGTATTATTGATTAGATAGCTATCGGACACACTGATCATGTATAGAAGTGTCATCGGCACTATCTTGTTTCCTCCAATGCTTGTGTTCCTAGAGGAATCAGTAATGAGATAATACGGTGTCATTTTTGCCTTTCGGAGTATTTTTCTTGCTACAGTTGTTTTCTGCTGTTATTGATTATTGTTTATTCAAAATAGATTAAATAAGAGAAATTTCAGTGTTTTTACTAATCCTCCTCTTTAAATTACTGTAGGACCTGATAACTTGGATATTTTACGGGGACATTCAAGGGCAACTATGTTCTTAATCTGCAACAATGCTGCTCAAGGGATCTTGTCATCCTTTTTCTTTAAATATGCAGGTGCATACAAATTTATACTGTATCCACAATCTTGGATTGGGGGTTAGGTGTTTAATTTTTCCATAATGTTGATAAGATGTAAATAATTTTATTCACAAATGAAACTTATTGCTACTTTCTTTCTAGTTCTTCTTAACCCCGAGTCCGCACGGTCAGAGATTTGCAAAGAGCGCAGTAGGAACTTATATGTTTAATATACTTTACATCGTACCTAGATGTTACGGGATGATACATTATGAATTAATTCTAGATCATTTCATGTGTTTCCAAGCACTTGAGATATGCTTAAGTTGGAGGGGGTTAAAAAACGGAACAAATCTGATTACTGTGTAGAAAGTACTGGCTTGTTATTTGAGAATTATATACCTGATGATACCTAGGAGCATAAGACCTTAGTGAGGACACGCTTTCTTGACAGCATGAAGTTGGAAATGTCGTAGAATATTTCTGCCTAATCTGTATGTTGGTAGTTTTTGACATCGGTACAGCCGTGTATTTTAGTAATGCTGTACCACTCACCAATGGCGACTATCTTTCTTCTTCTTTTTTGCAATCTTTTCCTCCATAGTTGGTATGCTTTATTCAGAAGACTCTAGCCCTCTTCATCATTAATAAGTTATTTTGTTCTTAATTTGTTGTCACTTATTGATGTAGATACAATTCTGAAGAAGTATTCATCAACTGTTGCAACGATTTTCACTGGAATTGCATCTGCCGCATTGTTTGGTCATACTCTGACCATAAATTTTGTCCTTGGAATCTCCATTGTTTTTATCTCAATGCATCAGGTACACAGTAGATTGCAAATGACTTGCCCTTGTGTTCTCTTGATGGAATTTGCTATGTTTCAACTGTTTTAGATTTTTTGACTTTTTTAGTCTCTGACTGTTACATGTTCTATTGAACTTCGCTTTAAGATGTAAAGTGACAAGGTTCTCTTTCTGTCTTGTATGTTTCCTTACATCATTGCGTTTTTGTTTCAGTTCTTTTCACCTCTTGCGAAGGTTAAAGATGAAGTACAAAATGGTAGTGCAGAAGTGATGAATAGTCGAAGTAACTTCAGGTATTATTTAACTGTTAAGTTCAGTGTTTTGGAATCTCTGATTATGTTCTGTTGATTACCTTAAACTCTGGTAATACTATCTGATAGTTTAGATATAGATGATTAGTGCTTGCTTGTGCAAATGGTTATCACTTGTTTATAGTTTGGTTCCAATTGTCAGCTTCAATGTCCTCCCCTTTAATGATGAAGTGCAGTGTTAGGCTTTACTGGTCTAACAAGTTCTGCATCTCATACGGCACTCTAGTTTTTGTGAGTTTGTTGTCTCATAAAGCACTCACTATGGTTTTACTGTGAATGTCCGTCTCTGTGATTAAAAGTGAACTGGAATTAGACCATGTTGTCATTTTCCAATTTCCTGATATCATCTTTCTACCTGTTTTTCTTTGATAAATAATATCGGAGAGTAATATGTGAACCTTTGCTTGATATGAAAATTGCTTGTTTGTTTGTACTACAGGTCTAAGGATGCATCTTTTGTAGAAATGGCAGCGGGTGCTAATGATGATGTAAGAAACCATTTTAGCTGTTTCTTATTTGACTGTTCATTGCACCAGTTCTGGAAGACATGCACTATCATCTCTTACCCGGTCACTTTAACTATGTTTTGTAATGTAAATATTGCAGGCTAGTCACCGAGTGGGACATGATGAAAGAACACCTCTCTTACCATTGTAGACTAGAGGACTTTTAGGTAACACTTCTTCACTGTCGACGTGTGTGCCCATGGACGTAATATTTTTTGCCGTGTTAACATTCATATGGGAAGTAGATTTCAATTGTAAAGATGTTAGTATGATAATGCATTTTGACCAGCTCAAGTTAAAGCTGTCAAAACCATGTTATGGTATATTTTTCCTGATACTTGCACAGGTCAATTCATTCATGACCTTTATGCTAGAGGAATTATTTGCGTAGTCAATTTCACGTGCAAAATTATAAGCTGCTTCCTTTGGGAAAATGTGCTCCTGGACTTGGTCATTCATGCCGTATTGCTTGCATCTTTGTCTCTTTGTTCTTTTTTTTTTTAATTTTTAATACTTTATAGGACTCTTGTGCAGGAATATTGCAGTGATCAAATTTGGGTGGTTACTCATTACGGAGTTCAAGAATCGGACTATTTTCTCGAGTTGATAGGTTTTATACAAAAAAGGAAGAGGGGGTTTGTTATCTCCCTTTGGAAATTACAATGGAAGTAGAAGAGTGTCCGACCAAACCGTTAAAAAGGTTGAAGGAAAAGGCAGACTCAAATACACACACATAGAAGGATATTTGTAGTTTGGATTTGGGTCTAATAGTTAACCACTAAATGCCACATTTCTTATATGTATACGGACAGTAAATTTCACATCAATGCATTGGCTGAATTCAGCTTTTTTGTACCTTTAGATGCTCTATTCTTTTAGAGGCAGAACGAGTTGATGTAAAAATCTGATACATATTTCTGTGAATGCTTTTTACATCAGCAGAATGGAAAGAAATTTTGCAGTAAGGGCTCTAATCTAAAGTTCTGTATTTTAAAAAAAAACAAGGGTCGCAAACGTTTTTTTCTTTTTGAGAATATAGATAAATTTATTAAGTAACTGGAAATCGTACCGTAGTCATTGATAAAAGAAAGATACAATAAGAAAAACACTACTTACAATTTCAATCCATCAAAGAGTCATGTTGTATTTTATATAGATAAATTTATATAGATCCATTTTATAAAATAATGATTGTACCATGTGTCATTGTTGTGATTTAACGTAATAATCTTTATCTACCTAATTAAACAAAAGCAAGAAGTTCCCCAATTACTCAATAACAAATTATTGCTCTAGTCCAAACACCCATTCATTTCCACATTTCAAAGTAAAATTACTCCTGCCCCAACTACGTGCATAGGAAAAAGTGGTACTTGTCGAACCATTTTAGGTGTACAAAACAAGACTATTTTTGTGAGGATATATATATGTAGGGAGCGGCTCGAGTCCCGTTACGTGACGGTTCCATTTTAAAATAATAACCATAGGATTAATAGGCTAATTAACAACCGTAGGATTACAATGAGGGTGCATCATAGGTAAATACACCTAAACACACCTGATTAAACTGAAAAAATTAGAGAATTTGGTTAATTTTGTCCAAAGCTTTAAATATATAGCCAATTTGACCCAAAAAGATTTTTGCGAACCCAAATCCATCATCTAAATTTCAATTTCTAGTCAATTTCATCCAATTGACAAAAATTTCGTTAGATTTAAAATACCTCCGCTGACATTCCGTTACGGATAAAATGACGGTTGTACCCTAAGTTTTAACCGCGTCGTTAATTTTACTCCATTGATTTTTGGTTAGCCAATTTTGTACTTTACGTTTGAAATTTTTTTCAATTTCATCTAACTGGCCCAGTATCCGTTAAACTTAAGGGATTTCAGTTAATTTTTAACAAAGATATATCTCAATAGTATCAAAAAATTATAAAAATAACCTCAAAATATGTAAAATCAACAAAATAATCTCTTTTCATTAATTACTTAATTATTTTTATTTTATTTTATTTCTCTTTACTACTTTTTATAACCATCAAAATATATTATAAGATCTTTAAAATAGTAAGTATTTATTTTCAAACTCTATTTTTCATGTGCAAACATGTGAGTTTGGTTCAGAGGTAATCTTTTCATATTTTTAAAATTTTTAATTATTTCTTTTGTTATTTACTGTTCTTTTTCTTATACTTCCTAACTTGTGTCTGTTGCTACTGGTATAATTACTAAATTTCAATAATTAATTTACTTTTTATTTCATAGATTATAAAAAAAGTTTAAAAAATAAAGAAGATGAGGAAGAAAAAATCGAGTTGAAATAAATACGAAAATTAATAGATTATCATTCTAAACAAAAAAAAAAATCTAAAAAAAAGTTGCTAAGATCTTTCCTCCTTAGCTTCTTGTAATTCATAGGTAAGTTACGAAATATAAATTTTACTCGATCTAGCCTAAAATGATTTTTTTGTTTGTGATAGTAAAAGTAACATAAAAATTAGATAATCATTTGAAATAGGAAAAAGTGCTAATTTATTTAGTCCACGACGATGAATTGTTTTAAATTTGGTTAACACAATTTTTATTGTTTTTTAGTAATTGTTGTTGTTACTTTGCCAATGGCTAAACTATAATCAATCACTTGGAGTTGAATTTTAAAAGTGAATTTTAAAGCTAGTCCAATCACTTCTGTGATTCTTGGGAAGGGTGAAGTCTCCTTTTGGTTTGACAGTTGGCTGCTTCTGGTCCGATTTGGTCTATCTACTGGTTGAATGACCCCCCCATTTAAGAATCTCCAGTCCCAGGTTCTCCAGCATCTGGAAAGCACAAATGTGAATTTATCGCTTATGGAGGACAAAAGAGTATGAATGCCAACATCTCATGGTAATTTTACCATAGCCTCAACATATTCAGAATTCCGTCAAACACAGGGAGTGGTTCCACTTGTTGCAAACTTTTGGAATAAATTTGCTCCATCAAAAGTTTCTTTTTTCTTATGGAAGCTTTTTAATAAACTCGTGCTATTGCCAGATGTTTTGGTAAACTTAAGTTTTTTGCACAACCCTGTAGATGTTCCCTCTGCTTACAGGAAGGGGAGAATATTTTCCATGTTTTCCGAAGTCACAACAGGTATGGAACTATTTTTCAAATATTCTGGGAATTTTTGTGTCTTCTCATGCAGGTCTATGGAGTTATGTTCAAGCTTGGTATACTATTGGTGATCCGCTCACTGCAAAGAAAATGATCAAGATAATAACTCCTGATTTAATTTTGTGGGTACTTTGGAAAGCCCGGAATAAATGAATTAGATTAAGGTTGGAGCAATAAATTAGATCAGGAGATAAATTATGTGGTAAAGACGTTATAATAATTAAATGGTAAGACAAGCGTATATTACTAAATAATAAAACATTAGGGATAAAATTTTAAAATTCTGGGTAAACAAAGTTTTTTACCAATAAAAAATTGTACAAAGTAACGGAATGTCACTGGAAATATTAAATATAACAGAATTCTCATTAATTTGGATTAAATTGGCAAAAAATTAAAATTTAGATGATGAATTTGGTTCCCAAAAAATATTTTGGGTCAAATTGGCCGGAAACTTGATGTTTTGGGCAAAAGTGATCATTTTCTCAATTAGTTTATGAGATTATAAAATGTTATTCACCACATGGTTACATCTTATACTCTCAATTTTGATTGGTTGAAGACAAAACGGGACGGTTCCGTAAAAATGGCCAACGGGACTCTAGATTTTCGCATAATATATATATATACACAAAACAATCAAAAGATCATGAAAATTGTTATAAAAAGAATTTGAATTTATATTTTGTCGACTTCATCATCATGTTCTCTGAGTTGAATTTCAGGTTATATATATATATATATATATATATATATATATAACATGATGAGTTGAATTTCAGGGTTATATATATATATATATATATATATATATATATAACATGATGATGAAGTCGACAAAATATAAATTCAAATTCTTTTTATAACAATTTTCATGATCTTTTGATTGTTTTGTTATTTGGAAATTAATCCATTTTAGTTGGAAAGTTAGTTGGGTTGATTATTTATCAATATATCGGTATCAATATACATACAAAATACATATTTTTTGTAAAAATTTTATTATCATTTTTATTTCTTAGAAATTATTGGCAAAAGTGTCAAATTAGTCCTCAACTTTTAGGCCGACTTCAATTTCATCATAATCTATTATGAAGGTGCCAATTTCATCCAGATGCATATACTTTGGACAATATCATCCTTTCGTCATCCAATTAGCAAATTCCGGCCATTGACTTGTTCAAAAATCGCCAGAAAAATTATTTTATTATTTTATTATTTTTAAACTTCAGAACTAAAATGACATTTAATTAATTAACTTTCTTTTTTCTATTAATTAACCTATTAATAGAGTCTAATACTTCACACCATATACTTCAATTGAATCTTTTATTCTTTTATTCTTTTTTATTCTTTCTTACTAAACCATACTTTCATAAATCATACGTAAGTGATTTTACATAGGGCATAATACACAACTATTACTCCCTCCGTCCCATAATTATTGTCCTGTTTGTCAAAAAAATTTTGTCCCAAAATTATTGTCCGATTTGACTTTTTATTGGTGGAGTTACACATATGCCCTTTAATCCCAAAAGGAAAAATACTAACTGAAACTTCTTCCTCCATGACTTACGCAAACGGTAGAAACGAAAAGTTAACTATAGTAGCAAACACAGGCTCTTTTCCGGTGGCTCTAGGCGGCGGTGGACACAGGCTCCTCTCCGGTGGCTCCAGGCGGCGGTGGAGGTGAGGTGGCCTGCCGGTTGTCGGAAAGAAATCTGGAGAAGAAATTCCGAAAAAAACGAAGTCGAAACTGCAGTTGATGGATTCAAACGGTAAAATAGATTAAATCATCTGGATCGAGGAGCATTAGATTGAAACTCAGATTAACAACTTTCTCCAAATTCGAATCAATTCATCCGAGAATTTAGTTCGATTGGCATAAGCGGTGGCTCATAGTTGAAGAACTCCGATCTAATCGATCTAAAAATTTTATGTTTGTCTTAGATATCAAATTGAAACGTCGAGCAGAAACTTCTCCAAATTTGAAGTTCATCTAAATTGGTTTGATCATGGCTTGGTTCCTGACTAAAGAAAAGGTGAAAAATTTTTATTCTTGTACTCTGAAATCGATTTTGGATCTGGGAGTCAAAGTGACAAAGAAGTGAAGAGTTCTTCCCCAAAATCTTTCACTGGTTAACCATTTATATATTTAGGGGTATTTTTGGAAGTTTGTGGCAAAATTTGGTTAAGTTTAACTGAAAATAAATTCTTGTATCTTAACAAAATTGGACAATAATTTTGGGACGGAGGGAGTATATTTAAACTTGGTTGATTATTTATTGTTGATAAGGATACATTGCCCCTTTTCTTTTTGGATAAGGAAATATTTAAGGGGAGGATTTTTACAGCTACAAGTTTTATTCCTTTCAGCCACAATTTTTGAAATATTCTCATTTTGTCCCTGTCATTTTGTCCAAACCCAAATGCAGTAGAGAGAAAGAGAATGAGTCACTCAGAGGTAAATTAAAAAAAATTAAAAGAACGGACCAAACCGAGCAATGAAACCGTCTCAGTTTGAGAGAGAACAAGCAAGATACCCAGTCAACAATGGAGAAAAATATGTATATTTCCCGTCCGAACCGGGTGAAACCGGTTTGGACGGGTAATATATGCGTCTCGGTTGACCCAAGAACGGGCAAGGAACTCGTCCCCCTTATCGGTCGAACGAGCGAGCCGGCTGTCTGACCCAATGGGTTGAACGAGTTCTTTGCCCATCCTTGGTTCAACCGGGACGGGTATATTACCCGATTCGACCCAAGCCGGGGCGGGTATTTTACCCGTTATGTTTTTTTTTATGAATTGTTTTTTTTTTTATTTCTTGCCCATTATGTTTTTTTATGAATTTTTAGTTGATTATTTGTTTAGTAAAAGTGACTGAAAATTATTTAGTTTAGTTTTTAATTAGATTAGTTTTACGATTTAATTAGTTATGTTAATTAATATAATTAGTAAGTTGAATTTTATTTCGTTTGGTTTAATTAATTAGAAATTATATTATTTTATTTGCTAATTTAATTAATTATAGTAATTTACGTTTACTCAGCGGAAATTTAATTTAATATTTTTAATTAGTTGAATATTTGTTTTTTTATAATAATTGTGTTTAATGTAACTGTATGTTTTTTTATTATTTATTATAATTGTATATATTTTTTAATTTTTTTAAATAATTATAATTTATGTTTAATTTAGTTTATTATAGTGCAGTATTTTTTTTTTGTAATTTTATGTTTAATTTGCAGGATTCGTTTGAAGAGTTTGGTGGCAATGGTGAAGATTATTGTTCAATGTTTGCTACAAATGAGGAGTTTGCAAAAAGGCAGGATGCTGTTGATTGGGTGAAAGACATGGGCTTAGCAAATGGTATGATAATAAATGTAGTTTCCGGCAAGGGAAAAAAAGGTGTTTTGATGAGATGTTGTAAAGGTAGAAAGGTCAAGGGGTCACTTGAAGATGGTAAAGAATATGTCTCAATGGATACTAAGACACAAATCACTGATGTAAATTTAAAGTGTATGTACACTTATTTGGTGAAAAGTGGTGCATTCGTGTGTATTCGTGTGTATCCTGGTAAGTTTGGAATGTATAATCATTCCCTGTTTGACGAAGATAATCCCACGAGGGGACTTAGCGATGGAGTGAAACAGGTTATACAGGGTATGTCTAAAGATGGGTGCAGACCGTGTCAAATACTGGCAGCGATTCAGAGGAAATTTCTAGATGAAAGCATTAACAAACGGCAAGTCTACAATTACAGGAATAAATTGCGTAGTGAGGGGTTCTCGGTCTTGGGTGACTCGAGTGCCATAGATGTTGCAGTGAAGACACTATCTATGGCGAAGCATCATCATTATGACAGATCGCAATGAGGAGACAGGTGCGCTGACTCGTGTTTTTTTTTGCACATCTTGAATCTGTCAATTTATTTTAAACTTATTTACGGGTCGTCGGAATAGACTCTACATACAAGACGAACAAGTACAAAATACCGTTGGTTGAGTTTATTGGGATGACACCGTGCAGCCAGATTTCTTGATTGCATACGCCCTTTTGAGTAACGAGACTGGTGATAGTTATTATTGGGTTTTAGACAGTTTAGGAATTTGTTTCCTGGTCATATGTATCCAGCTGTCATTGTTACCGATAAGGAACCGGGGTTGGTGGCGCCTCTGAGTGTGATTTTTCTATATTCACACCACTTGTTGTGTGTTTGGCATGTTTATCAGAATGTAGAGCGACATCTCAACAAGAAATTAGAGATTGATGCCAAGCTTGCAAATGGTTTTGCATATTGGTTGTGGAAAGACGTGGTGGAAGCTAAGAATCAAGAGAAATACAATAAAGCTTTTGCCGTAATAAATCGTCGTTGGCTAAATTTTCTGAGAGTTCTTCATTATATCCATAACATATGATTAGTGGTTAACTACAAATTCGTCAAGGCGTGGACGAATGGTGTGTTTCATTTGGGCAACACTACTACAGGTAGAGTGGAGAGCGCGCATGCTCAGTTAAAAGATTGGCTAGAAACATCTACTGGGTCGCTGGATACACTTTGGGCTAAGGTGCACTTGGAGATTCAGACTCAGCTAACTGAAATACGGTAACTTCTATTCCATTATGTTCTATTTATTATATTTTTAGTATTTTTGGCATTTTAAAAAAATTTATTACATTTAAAGGTTACATGCATGTAATCCTAAATTCAGGTACAAACTGGAATACTCGAGACAGAAAATTGCCACCCATTATTGCGGTTTTCCACTGAACCGCATGAAGTGTCAAGTTTCACATTACTGTTTGAAAAAACTGAACACTGAGTGGTCGACGGTGCAAGAGTGGAAAGAAGGAGTGAAGAATAGATGTGATCATGTGGTTTACTGGACTTGTCGAATTCCATGCAAGGGCGCACGGGATCAATGAGAGAGGGAGATGCCTGACTAGCGGGGAAGGAACGAGGCCGAATACTTGTTGATGTACCCTTTGGGAATTGAACAAACTGAGGGAGAGAGGGACTACGATGTGGACCAACAGAGGGGTTGCGAGAAAAATCACGGACAAGGAGAGGTGGATAGCCTCCGTGACTGTGCCACTCACCACTAATAAGAGAAAGGATAGGGGTAAGGGGAGAGGATAAACCTCCAGGACCAGGCCACTGACTACCAAACAGGGGAGGAGGGTAACTACTAGGATTGTACATAGGGGGATCTCTGTGATGTGCACTCATAATCTGTGTGATGCGCACTCATCCTAACATTGTCCTGCACATCCTCCTCATTAAACTCATTCTCCTCATCCTCATTCTCCTCTTCCTGGTCGTCCTCAGAATAATCGGGTACATTAATCGGCTGACTCGACCGAGGCCCAAACGGTACACCACCCATATTTACTCGAGTCATTTTCGTTCGCTTCTTTAACTCTTTTTCCTCTCTTCTTCCGACGACTCATAGTCACACTCACGAATTTTATGCTTACTAGTATCTTCAATATCACTACTATCACTATCATCATTATCATCAGAATAAACCTATAAGCAAATTTTAGTCATCATCATCACATTTTCCTAGTCTAAATTTCTTAACCATACAAATTTTCTAAATCCTAAATAGTTTATAATTAAGTACCCTTTAATTAAACGTACAATTACGATAACAAAATAATTATATACATAACATAAAAATAATTATCATACAATAATAAACTAAACTAATTTATTATCTTAATTATAAACTAAACTAATTTATAAACTATTTAAATTAATTAATTTAATCAATTAAACTACATTACTAACAAATTAGATTAACTAATCTACTATTAATTAAATTAATCCAATAAACTAAACTAATTTACAAACTATTTAAATTAATTTATTTACACAAATTAACTAATTAACAAACTAATAATCAATTAATCTAAATCACAAAATATTAATCAACTAAACAAAATTATAAACTAATTATATTAAATATATTAAACATAATTAAAAACTAATAATGAATTAAACAAATTTAAAATTAAATTAAATTAAAAAAATTCTGACCGGTCCGGTTGGAGAACCGGACCGATCGTCATCTCCAATCGGACCGATCGTCATCCCGGTCCACGCTGCAAAAACTTGGCCGCCGGACGGATTTCTTGTCCGTTCTGGCGGCCATATTTTTTTTCCCTATTTTCTTTTATAAAACACAATTTTGAGACAAAAAAACTTTTCTTTGATGAGATCGGCTCTTTCCCGTTTCGATTCTTCCGTGTGGCCATCAATTTTGGCTCAAAATAGGTTTCAAATTGGGATTTTAAAGATTGAAGGTTTGAGAGAGTTTTCTCTTTTTTGGTTGGTTGCAAGTTTGAAATGGAAGGGGTAATATCGAAATTTTTCAAAAATTATGGCTGAAAGAAACAAAAGCTTGAAAAAGTATTAAAACTAAAAAGAATGTACAGTATGTAACAAAAAATTGTATGTAATCAATTAATCAATGTGAATCTATTCTGGATCAAGAATTTCAGGGGTTTTTATATTTGACCGAATAAGGACTTGTCCCTGAAGCAACTCAGCCATGTCTTCTTCCGTCACCGCTTCCGATGCCGATAAGCTGATCGCCAAAGCCGATAAACTGTGAGCCTCAGAATCTTTGCAATACATATTCTCCCTCACGCTACCTGTTTTGAATTTATTGCTTTTTTGATAAATGCGTATGCTCATTTCTACGGTGATTCAGTTGACGAGGTTTTGAATTTCAGTCCTGGCATCTAAGATTTGGTTGCGTTGTACAATGCAAACGTCTGCTTTTTTTTTTTGATCACCACGAGAGCGTTTGTGTAAGAGAAAAAAAAAGAATCGGGGAACTGAGGATAGCTGGGTGTATTGGTCAAGATTTTGTTGAAGATAATTGGATTCAGAATGAACGTTTGCAATTGATTCGATTCGGTGTTTCTTTTGTTTGTCTCGTTTGCTTTGGCTTCTGATCTGATAATAGTTAGGACCTTTCGGGAATGTATAGAGTTGAATACATTAGCCAAATATTGAATAGTGAAATAGTTTAAGATTTTGATTATAAACATGATATCTTCATTTCTTACCCAATCACATGTAAAATTTTTCCAAACGAGAGGTTTGTAGTTAACCCAAAAAATAAGGAAAAAAAAAAAAGAAGAATAAGCTTCTTATTGTCCAATGTTCTGTAGTTGGTTTCATGGATGATTAATTATCTCTTTTACAGCTTTTAAGCTCACGGTTTTATTTTGTCATTATCATTTCTCATTATATCCATGCACATATTTAATGAATGACCAAGATGTTGAACTCTGGACTTTGAAATCGTTAAGTATATACTGTCTCTCATAACCCCCAATCCCACCCTACTTTTGATATTTAATTCGGAATTTGGGGAAAAAGTAGGGTTGTTCGGGTTTAGTTACAATCTGGTAGATACTTGAGGTCAGTACGTGGATGCCTGAAGTTTGGGGGGAAAAGGGATGTTTGAATTGAGTTACAACCTGACGAATAGTTAAGTTCAGTGTGTGCATATCTGGCACTAGTTCAATCGATTTACTGGTCCAAATGTAACTGCCAAAAGCAAAATTCTTCATATTGGAAATCTACTATGCTTAGGTAGACATTTTCTATGTCCCCAACTATGCTAGAGTGCCAGTGCTGATTGGAAATATTTAGCAGCTCGCTTTTGAATGATTCTTTTTTTCTTTTGTACCTAATGTAACTCTTTGCCATTCTCTACAGAACAAAACTTAGTATGACTAGATGGAATGCTGATTGGAAAAGTGCCACTGTTCTTTATGAACAAGCAGGTAGTTGTTCACTTTCGTAAACTAATTCTTTACTAGAGATGGAAATAAATCGATTTGTCTGTTGATGGAGTCTTTTTTTTTCTTCTTTCCTTGTAGCTAATGCTTTTCGGCTGTCAAGAAAGTTTGACAAAGCAAAAGTGGCCTTTGAAAAAGCTTCTAAAGGACAAGAGATGCAGTCTTCGTATCCTATTCTATGTCTAGTTTCCTTTACCGTGAGTATGTTTAACCCAAATAAATCCTTAACAAGTTTTTAAGGCCTTGGGATGCTGCTAAACACATGGAGTCTGCTGCAGCTATGGCCAAAGAATTAAGAAACTGGAATGAAGTTTCTGACTTTTATAGGCAAGCATCTCAATTTTATATTGAATGTGGAAGGTCGCAACCAGCATCAGATGCACTTGGAAAGGCTGCTCGGTATGCATGGGTATCATAGTTTCTATTGTTTTGAGCCATGCTGTTATTTGCATGTGAATTTATGTGTTTAAATCCTTTCATTTGAGATTTCTTCTGATTCACGTGTGGAAGTTCCTACATTCATGAAGTTGTTTAGGCAAAAGAGCACCTATGCACAGGGTAGCTGATTCTACTAGTGATCCATGTTGGTATGGTGCTATTATCTTTAGTTTGATTTAAAGCCATACATTTTGCCGAGCATTGTAGAGTAGTAAAAACTCAAAAAAATGCTTAAGTTCAATATGGCGAAAACCATTGTTTGGATACTTTTATATAAGAATAACAGTGCAAAATTAATGACCTCTGTGATCATTTTGAAATAGCTGTATGATTTAAATTAACTACGCTTCAGGAGGGGGGAGGGGGGGGAGGGGGGGGAAGGAAGGATTTAAGGAGACTTATTTTAGGACCTCCAAATCTCCAAAGAAAAAAATACATTTTTTTGTCAGTTTACTGCAGACATCTGAGTAATTATTATGTTGCTGTCACATATACCTCTCTTTCCTTGTTGATGATTCCTCCTTTTTCTCCCTTCTATTCTCCTTATTGTGTAGGCCATTTTGTTTACGTCTCCTTTAGATTCACATTGTATCATTACTTACGGAAAGAAAATTCTTTTGAAGTGCTGTAGAAGAGGCTGTACCTGAGGAAGCTGTCAAGCTGTACACAGATGCTTGCGATATTCTTGAAGAAGACGGGAAGGAACAAATGACTTTTGATCTATATCGTGCAGCTGCAAATGTTTATGTGAAGCTAGAAAAGTAAGTTATTTTTTCTTTATTGATTAAAAATAAATAATGGATTTTGATGAACATCTTGTGGAAGATTCAACTGTAATCTAAAAGTTAAGGCGGATGTTATGATTACTTATAATGTTGGAAATTTGAACCATTCTGAAATGGTAAAGGTTGATGGTGTTTATGTCAATTCTATTAGTATTTTTCTACAATATTGTAAAAGTGGCCCATATTTGTTACGGGAAACCTTTTAGTTACTTGTATGTTTTAAGAATCTCCATTTCAACTTGTTGTTTATTTCTTAACCAACTGCCTGATACACAGTCTTTTCTATTGCCTTGTCTGTTGTGGTATTAATCATTTGAAGTTATGATGATGGAGTAGAACGTATAATATATGAAACTTTATGGGATCATTGTTATAAATAGATATTGGTTTTCATCTCATGTAATGTCTGCACTGTACATGAAAAGGTTGTCTAATAGTTATAGAGAACTTACTGAATGTAGTTTACGTTGGTAGAAAATATGAATTTGTGATATCGATGTTTCGTTTTTGTTGGTTTTTTCCATTTTAAGGTGGCTGGTGTATGTGTCCTTTTTTTTCCTTTTTATGAAAAAAAGAAGACTGAAGGTTTTGCTGCAAATGTTCTTTTGACAATTTCTAGTTGACTGAAATGCCATTAACTGACTTTTAGACAGCAGGTGGAAGTGCAAAATACTGAAAATGAAACGCGAGGCAATGTTGGGTTCATCTGGGATTGTATACATTAATATTGCAAAGGGTTCTTTGAAAAATCTGTAATTATGTGTAATTGAAGCCTCTAAAACTGTTGTTTAAGTATTTGGAACAATACAAAGGAGGGAATCAACACAACCGCTAACTATGTCAACTTCTCAGGAATAGCTTAAGTATAGCATTCAAGGCTCTGAGCATCACTATAAATATAAACAATACCAATCATACATATGCGGAAAATTCTGTTGTTTTCTACATAATTATGACTTAGAGTTGAAGTTTATAGTTTTACCTGTCGACTAGTCATAATATTTTTTTCACTTCTGATAGGTATACAGATGCTGCCACTATCTTGTTGAGATTGGCGTTAGCTGCAGATAAATGTAATGCTACCCACAGCCAATGCAAGGTATGGAGTTCTCACATTAAATTTTCTAGCTACTCAAAATTTCTCTACTGTAGTTTCTAACTCCTTTGTATTCTGTTGTATTGTTCCTGTGGAGTTCTGATTAATTAAATTCCAAACCTTAAAGCTTCACATCCATCAAGTGGCTAGATTTAGGACTTGCGCTTGATTTAGGAATTTAGAACATCATGCTAATACATTAAATAAGTCCTCTTTGAATAGTATGTTCTACTTTCTCTTTTTCATTGACATATTTCTTTTTCTTTGTCATTATCTTCTTCACTTTCGGGTAATCCAGTTAATGGTTTTGTAAATGTTGTTTGGCTTGTAATCCTTTTACAAATTTCTGGTGAGGATTTGTGCGGGATAATGATCCAGGAGCCATTCAGGATTGAGGGCTGCTTATGGATGTATGAAACTGAGCATTATCCGGGGGGGGGGGAGGGTGTGGGGAGGGGGAGGGTGGGTGGGTGTGTGTGTGAGAAAGACTATCTAGGAGTAAGTAGTGCATGTGTCGAGGATTAAGTTCTCTTTGGGCCAAGGTATTCCAACCCGAAAGGCACCAATGTGAACTGTAGACTGCATTCCTTCAACCCTAACTTGAGCATGCATCTCTCAAATTGCACATCCTGTCTCGCTTTTGTTGTCATTGATAAATTGGTGGACTAAAGACCCTTCTGGAATGTCTTTAAATCGTTTAAGGATGAAATAAACTACTTAAACTAGCTCTAATTTGTTTTTTGGTTGACCCTGGAGGTTAACTTGTACATTAATGTGTATGTATTTTTTTAATGGTGCGCTATTCTTGAATCGCAATGTTTTTATAGGTGAAGTGATCATTTTATTTTAGACATGATTGCAACTGCTGGTGATGTTTACCTGCTTTTTTGTCGCTTTTAATGGATATCCACAATTATAGAGTTCTGTGGGATAAATACATCACTCAGGGATTGCTATTTAGACTTCCTTAGGTCACTTGTTGCTGCATTAATTATTAAACCTGTGATAGTGTTTGTAGCTAGCTACCACGGGGAAAAAATTTTTTGATGTGGTGTTAGCCTGCACGTTGTCAAATAATGATCAGCTTTGCCTTTTCCTTTTTGAGTGACTACTTCTTTCCTTCAACAAGTAAATGGTGTTTTTTATTGTTGTTAATAATTTGTTATGGGTTTCCACTAAAACTTGTTCAAATCTATTGTTTGATACTGAAAAATCCGATCATCTCCTAGGCTTATCTCAGTGCTATCATCGTGTACCTTTATGCTCACGACTTCGCGCAAGCAGAGAAGTGCCATAATGATTGTTGCCAGTAAGTTACCATTCCTTTCCTCTTTCACTTCTTGGAAGTGCCCATTCTAAATTTCATTTTATTGTGCAATTTAGATTGCCTTACTATATCTAGCTTTCAGCAGTCAAAATTTGTTCTATGTCCTCCAATACTATTAGTAAATAGTTTTTTTTTTTTTTTTTTGAAAATGTATTATTTTCTGATTCCAAGATAAAAAAATCTTTTGATTATTTTTCATTTTTTCTTATTAGCCTCAGACTAGCATTTCATTCAGATGAATTTTCTTTGTGATAAGCATTGTTCTTTGGGCTGTATTGCAGGGTTGAAGCTTTCTTGAACAGTGATCAAAATCGATGTGCCACTAAACTTCTTTCTGCATATACTGAAGGTGATGTTGAGGGGATTAAAAAAGTGGCTCAGTCAAGCATTATATCCAATCTTGAAAACGGGGTAATCCTTTTTCCTGTGCTTTTAGAGTTGGTTTGTTCTGCTCATTCGAGTAGCCTTGGACTATCATCTTCAATATCTCTCCTGACCTGTGGATTATCTGGTATAACCGGTCGTTAATGCTCTTGCAGATTATCCGGCTTGCTCGGAAATTGCCTACTGGTGATGTGAGTTCGTTCAAGGCAGGTGCAGTAGAAGAAGAGGAGCCCCTAGATGAAGGTGATCTTACATAGACACTTTTAATGTGATTGATTTGTTTGTGCTACCACGTGTAAATGCTTTTCCTCACTGTGTAATTCTGGATTCTACATATGGCACCATAGACAAGCAAAAGTTTTACTGTATTCAGATTTTTCATGTTTACCTATTAGCTTTTGTTCACCTGGATCAATATTCTCTTCATCTGGTCATGCACTTCAGTGTTTTGGGTTGCTGGAAGAGTTCATAACACCATCAAGCATCTTTTTCATTTTCCGACTCTGCTGTGAGGCTCCACTTTCAGACCTTCACTTCCGTCCACGGCAACCATTTCTTGCCGACCAGAGACCAAAACCTCTTAAAGTTTCTTTCATTGTCCCAGTACCATCATATCTGATCACTCACCCAATCATCCGATGGTTCTCACATCTTTGTTCCCAATTTGTAAAGAAACCCTGACCAAGAAAACTTGAAAGACCTCAAACTGTCTACACTTTCTGCAGTTCTCTCATCTTCAGAAAAGCACTGATTTTTTCACAAAGAGAACTGGGCTCAAGTTATATAGTCTAGAAAAGTGGATTTATTCGAATTCAGGAACCTAGAATTGAAACTAAATACTGTTAGAGTCAGTGAATTAGAATCACAATCAGAGTCAAATTAAGAGGATGTGGAGTGATCAGACCGTTCGGGAAGATAAGGACGCTCATACTCCATGAGCCAAAAACTACGACAAATAGTTAACATGTTTAGTAACATGTAACTCAAGTGGTAATTTGATCTTGTACATTTGTTATTTTATGTGTTAAAGTCCAACTACATCAAGGAATAAAAGGTCAACAGATGCCTGATTGACAGAAGATAACAGCGGCTATCAAAATTTACACTTTGATCATTATCAGAAGAAAGGAAGCCGCGATCATCCTGATCAGAAAAGAAAGAAAGCCGCGGTAGTCTACTTCAGAAACCCTAACCGCGACCAAAAGTAGGAAACAGACTCTAGTCGATAGTTTTTTGCTACTTCTAGTCTTGTGTTCTGTCTATACTAGTCTTTCCTGTCGCGCGCATATATTAATTTGATTGCAATTTTTCTTTAAAATAATTAGTAATATACTACTATTGTTCTAAATAGTTTGTTATATAATTAGAACTCGGTTGATCGATTTGATTGGCTTTGAATTTTAATGCTAAAACAGGTACTATTAATTGTAAATCAAAACTGAGAATCAATACTATTAATGAACATTACACTACAAGATGATCACAATAAAGGTGTGATTCAAACCAAAATCATGTATTTCATAGTAAGAAAGTAATTCAAAATTGATACCATTGCTAGGACTCCTTCCCTTCTGAGCAAAATTGGTGAAAAAATCTTGAATTTAAACCATTAACATGAGAAACAACTACAAGTTTATTATGAAGGGACTAAGGTATATCATATATGATCCTATCAAGGGTCACAAAACCAATGTTTTTATCTTGTTTTTCTAAATAAAAGTCCAAAACAAAACGTTTCTTATCATATCTTGGACCAGCAAATTACTCCAATTAGACATCGAAAGCAAATGTAGGTGGAAGACTAATTCCTCCAACGCTAGTAGTAATTGCTCTACAATAGCTTCTCAACGGTGGATGCACGCAGAAATCAGTTTTTTGATATCTGCACAAGCATAACCATCTAAACGAACTAAGAAAGCGAAAAATAGCAATAGCTTGAACTTGACATAAATTTGAAATAATAGTGATTAGCTAACCCAGATTTGGGATACAGGTCTAGTGATGAAATGACGACAATGTTAAGTCTAAAAAAAAAAGTAAACAAAACACTCACATTTGAGTTACGAGGATCATATCATTTTCTAATCCGGAATCTAAGAAATGGCCCATTTGAAAAATAATATGCTGCCCTAAAGAGAAGCCTGTAAGCCAGAATGGACCAGCAACAAGAGTTAGAGAAACTATATGAAAGTGAGATCGTGTTGTTTCCAATGATTCTGAATGAAAAGACCACATTGCAACAGAGTGAGAAGATATGGGATACCTCCTTAACATATTTCCTCGAAACTCTTTACCTTTATCAAGTAAGCATTCTGACAATTAATCCTTTATCCATATAGGTCTTTTTTCAAATAACTCACATACAACTTTCTGCCATTGCCACTTTTCTAAGTTTTAATGAATATATTTCTCCCAGTTCACTTTCTTTAATGAATAATTTTTATGAATGTCAAATTAACAAAATGGAAAGGAACAAACAAATCCCATAATACTACTTCCAAATCAAAAGTAATTCTCGCAAAGTGATCAACATGAAGTAAGTTTAGATGGATCAGACTCAGGCAAATCATGACTTGCAAAATAAAGGGCAAACTAAATCATCGAGGTATCTCTAAAGTGTCACAAAACCAAGTAATTATCATGTGAGAGAATAATTCACATTAATCCACAAAAAGGAAATATTAATATCGTTGTGTCAACCCTAACCTCTCATAAGGATGCCAAAACCTTGTTTGCTTTCTTCTGAGATCCTGAAGTCACCAGCCGGTCCACTGAAATATCCCTCCAAGATGGCTTATTTCGATAATCTTCAGTACATATCTTTGCATTCGTGAACAAAATCACATATAAAAAGTAATAAATTAATAGCTGAATAAACAAAAGACACAAAAAGGGGACATATAAATTCAACAATTCAGAAATGGCGAACGACGTTCAATGATTGTTAGGATTCTTCAGAAATTAGCTTTCTAAAGGGACCTTACCAGAGTATATATTCACGAGTGGCATGATTGATATTGAAGGAACGATCAAGGAAAGAAGCAGGCCGCAGGTGCCACATTCAAAAAGCAAAAATTGTGTAGCCGGCTAGGCATAGGGTGTAGATCACTCTGAGGTCACGTTACCGCTCCAAAAGTGCGAATCTACATTTGAACGGTAATAATTATCAATTTTGACGGTGATAATTTCCTTGTTCCACCACCTTTACTCCACTGTCCCCAGAATAAGCAGCGGTTAAGCTGCAAAATGACGGGCGCCGGAAGAGGGACCAGATTCGGGAACGTTATTTGCCAAGTGCTTCAAGTAATTTATTATATTCGACAAAATTGAAGTAAATGTCAAACCTGAGTTATGAACGTCGGAAAGTCTTTAATTGACGGTGGAATTAACATCATGTAATTGAGCTTTTGTGCTCCCATGGCTGCTTTCAATAAGGTCGCAAAATGGTGGTTCCAGTGATGGTCACAGAGAGGACAAAATTTAGAACTGCACTAATTGAAGAAAAAAAAAATCAAAAACAAAAATTCAAACATAAAAGCCTTTGACAATCTTGCACAATTAGAGCAAATCGTAAGGGAAGTCCGTGGTCAAAATAAACAAACATCCATTCACATACGCCAATTGTCCTCAACAATTGACAAATAAAAGTGAATTAAGTACCCAAAACAGCTTTATCATTTGCAAAGAGCATGCACACAATTCAGAGCAACATTAATATATTTTGAAACAATCCATTCACGTGTCAGACCAAACTGATCCATATATATCAATATCAAGGCAATACATAATCATCAAACAAATCAAACCCCACAAAATCAAACCTTTATACAGACTAATTAAACTATTCATAATCATAACGCTTAAAAGTCTTGTCCTACCTACAACGAGAATCTAACCAATAAACACCACAACCACAATCCCGTTTCTAAAACCATATCAAGCACAAAAATTATTCATATTGAGCGTAACATAGAATCGAGCAACTAGGAAAAAAACTTACCTAAGTTGAACGAATTTGAAACCACCAGGGCCACCTCCGATGACAATGACGTTGTTCTCGTCGGCGGCACTAGCGGCGAAGCCTCTGCTGGTTAGATAGAAAGAGTACTTGTTGTATGAAGAGGAGGACTTGTATGGTGAAAGGAAAGTCCATGTCGCCTTTCTTCGAGCGATGCTTCTCATTGTCATTGTTGTTTTCATTTACACTTCACACCAAAGGGAGAGACAGAGAGAGTTGGGAAGACGGTGGATTGAATCGATTGATTCCAAGGAAACGGGGCAGGATAGCAAGGACCACCGGTTATGTGAGTTTTTAGGAACGACCATCGATCATATTTATAGTTGTTGGGGGGGGGAATGTTTTCTTGGCCTGGGGATTTTTCTTCAAAACATATGTTATTTTTTAACCGAGGGGAAAAAAATATAAAATTTGGTAAACGAACTTTATAAACTTCCAATTTGGGACTTTTTTTATCCACAAAATCTTACGAATTTTAGTTATTGGGATTTGATAAATAAAGGAATTTTTTTATAACCTTAATACAATGGGGAATTAAATTTATATTTTCGCCCCTAATAAGTCGCTGACGTCATATCAAGGTCATCCGACGGATGAGATCGATTTGAAGGTGTCTCCTTGAATACTTCTTAGGCATTATTTCTTGCCTACTGTGCTTTTTTTAAGTATAAGGATAAATTAGGGTCATGTACTGTTAAGTTTATTGCAGCAATACAGAAAAATAACAAAGAGTGATAGTTTCAATTTTTTTCAAAAAAATCATTATGTCTTCATATTCTTCTAGTTGTAGTTGTCTTCGTTTTATTACTTCTTCTTTATCAAAATTTTAGGGTTCTTAATATCAAATTTTTGCTTCGTATCAGATTGGGTGCGAACCTGCTTCTGATTTATTTCTGTCTATCATGTCTTTCCCCGAACACATCTATGTCTTTGAACGTAGGAAATTTTGTCACACTCAAGCTCTCCCAAATAACTATCCGTTATGGAAAGAACAAGTCTTAGAATTTGCAAAGAGTCAAGAACTCATCAGCCACCTCACAAAGTTTCATCAGAATCCATTCAACAATTCAATGCCTGGCAGAAATTCGACCGTCTATTTGAGAGGCTGGATCATAGGCACACTTTCAGAAGACTCCTTAGGTGTCACTATTGGTCTTGAGACCATATTTGCTGTGTGGAATGCTCTCCAAAATGAGTATGCCAAGGATTCTCAGGAAAGAGAGTTCACACTTCGACAAC